ACTAGCTGAGCTTTATTGGAATTTCTCCACAAACTCCGCTCCCTAAATTGGCTCTAAATTACTGCAGATGTGCAGTCTCAATACGGTAGCTCTCCAACCATAACTCTATGTGTGGAGCTTGCCACTGCAACCTCTAGATCATGCCTAGGCCCATGTAGCATGTCCATTTTTTGCGGCTGGCTGTGTCAGTTTTTGGCTTCGGAACGGCCTGCAAGGCGCAGCTACATTCGATGCGGGAAGGCCTTACAGTAAGAGCCAAGAGACTCGTCATGTATTTCTACTCCAGGAACCTGTATTTGCAGTCTATGGGATGTAGTGCTAGACATTTCGCCCATGCAGTTTGGAGTATCGGCAAGGTTCTACCTCAAAACCAAGCAAATCAATGTGTCAAAGAGTCAAGGGCCTTGCTTAAAGTCCTGAAGCACGCATCTGATGATAGTTCTTATTTCTTATTTCAGATATGTTCAGAATTCGATGAATTGATTGGGGCGGGCTTGGCCGTGTTCGTGTTCCCCGCTAGTGCCCTGGCATGCCCTGGCAACCCCTACTCGATGGCCGTGTGAGGATGCCCTCAGACATCTTTGGAGTCTACAGCGGAGCTATATGTAGTAAGGCCCAAAAGGAACATCTTATCAAAGTGTGCTCCCAACACTAGTCTTCGCTCATCCTGACCATCGCATCAGCACAAATTCGATATTGGCTACGCCTATGTGCACTAATATTGCATTGCCCCACTAGGTCTCATGGCCAGCAAACATTTGCAGAACTAGGTGGACACTTACAATTTCAACGGGCTTTGGCCGACCACTGTTTTCCGGATTGTGTCGCAGCAGCGGTGGGCAGTCGGCAGTATGAACGGACACGACAGAGCTGTGGCGGCACTGGCGGCCGCTCAACCTTCAATCTTCATCCGACCAAAGCCTAAAGAATTGTGCGGCTTCCCCAGTAGTGCCGTGTCCCAAGCCCCCAACGTCGAGCCCCAACCCCAAGCCTCACGCAAAACCAGGATCCGACCACAGTAGGCCTCATCAGGCCGATTCGAGCTGCTTCTTGGCGTCCTAGGATCAACTGATAGGAACTTCTAGGCTGCTTCGCGATCAGGTATAGACGTACGGACCGTTCAAGTTCCGACGCCTTACAGGAATAACGGGCCCAAAGCCACCACACTAGGGTTTGGCTAGTCTCGTTGTCGCCCTGCCTGACCTTCAGAGCTGCTCCGTCAGCGAAAGCGACTACGGGCGCAAAGAACGACGAATCTGTAGCCACAGATGTTCCTGCAAACCTGACATGCTGACAATATGCTACTAGCATGTGTCAAGCCTCCCTGAACGCAGTATGAATTTCCAATCTCAACTTCCGGTATGAACCCCCAATGCCAAACCAACAACTTCCCCAAGCCCGCGCGGAGGACCACTGTCCTGGGAAGTGGTGCCCTTCGCTGTGGCGGCAATGCTCAGGAGCTCACCTGGGATGTGGTTTTGGGGTTTCCAGTGTTTCAGGAACTGTGGTGCTGGGGGTCATTCAGTGGTCGAGGGCTTTTGGTGTGAACAACAGAAATGGTCTTGCTTCGCCCCATCGGCCCAGCGCTACATGAAGCACAAATGTGCGCGCTCAATACATAGCATTCCCACGAAACTCTTAAACGTCAACAAAGCCGGTACCCGGAAACTCGACCGGTTCCGAACACAGGTTTCAACCGTTTGAATGAAAGGTTCTTGTGCTATGTGAGCCAAATAAATCACAACGAACCTTGAACGAGAACAGTCATGGTCCTCTAGAAAGCCTTCAGGACTTGCAGCCGCAGTCCAAAACACTTCTACCTGCTCATGAGCCAGCCATGGGATTGGCATACAGTCAGCACATTCGATGCAGGTGTGTTTAGAGCTCTAGTTCCAATGTCCTTTCAAGTAGGGTTGAAATTACTTGCGCTTCTATCTACTTGGGCTGCTGTCCAGTGAAGTAGAGCGTTTGTATGCAAAGGGGTTACGCGAGTCAGCAAAACAGCACTCTCTTCAAGTCTAGGAATGAAGGGTTGCGGAATTCTGGTTCTGTGGATTTCTTTCTGTAATCTATTGGTACTGCTTCCAAGCATGAAGCGGTTGGGGCTCCATGGTACGTTTCCTGAGCACTGAAGCCCTGACTCCGCTGGCACGTAACCAGGTATCCAGATTACTTTGAGGGGATTTCATTCCACTAGCCGAAGCAAACTTCAAGCACAACATGTTCTGCTGGGACTTCCGAATAAGATTCTGCAGAACATGTCAGCTATCTTGTTGTTCAATAATAGGAGATGACCTCCACGTGAACTGTAGGGATATGACGTCACGGAACAGGAAAGATGACTGTGACGCCTCGGTGGCGACCCTTGCTTCTTGCCGACTAGTTGCTCTTTTGGAGGACTTTCTGCACAATGTCCGTCGCTTTGTCGCTCTTGAGTCTCTTGATAATCCCGACCCTGCGCCAGGAAGCATTCCAATTCTGGTTCCCGCTTGCTTATTGACGTTTGCATGCTGTTTGCAAGATGATGCGTTCGAGCAAGTAGAATCAAGAGGTTATCGTCGGTGAGTTTATGTAGCCCTGGTTAAAGGCTTCAGCTTCTTCACGTAAGATGCTTAACTAGTGGCACCTAGCTTGCCTTTGGCGGACTGCCGGACACACCGTCTAAGACAGGGGCTCAAGTTGCAATGTCCGAACCCGTGTGAGAGCGAACAAACGGAGTTCTGAGCACCATCCTGACTGCTCAGCTTAGGTACAAATGTTTCTAACACATCCTTCCAACGTCTCCAACAGGAACACAGCATGTACTACGTAAAGCCTACGAGCCGAATCAAAGCTATTCAGTCTTGCCCTCATGAAAAATGCATTCCGAACTCATGAAACCCTTGAACCCTAAGCCCTACTCCCTATACCCTAAACCCTAAACCCTATAAATAAAAGCCACGTTTCTCATGCAAACCGATGCTGCGAATCTGAAACCCCAAAAAGACACAACTTCTGAACCCAACGCTGTCAGTCAAAATCCCTACCACCCCACCCCTCCCCAATCCACCCCTCCCACCAAAGCAAAAAAACATGTAGGTAGAATCATGATTCTGCAAATTCACCCCTCCCCAATCCACACCTCCCATCAAAGAAAAAAAGTGGCAGGTAGAATCATGTTTCTACAAATCATCCATGGTAGCCAGGTTGATGTCAGATTCAGTCAAATTCAGATGTACAGAGAAATCAGGAAATGCTACACAAATAACCCCTATATAATCCCAGTTTCCATTTCATTTTCCATTTTCTTTTCCATTTGATTCTCCATTATAGGGCCCTAAACCCTATAGTATTGGGTACAGTGATGCAGCTGAGCGGCAGGAGCGTCCACCCCAGCCTCTTGTTGTCATCGCTCTGGACAAAGCTTTGGAGCGCTTTAAGGACAACCTGTAGGATGACGGTGGCGGGTTTAAACACACTAGTGGTATATATTGGGGTTATAATAGGGATAATGGAAAATAAAATGGAAACTGCTATAGTAATGGGGTATATATTGGGGGTTATAATATTGGGGCTATATAAGTAATGGTAATTAATACAAGAGTAATAGTAATAGCAATGGTAAGCGTAGTATGGGTGGCCGATGCACACAGGGCAAGGATGGATTTAGGATTCCGTGTTGCTATCCAACCTGTCTGTGCGCAAGTTTGAGACTTCGCAGAAGGTTCTGCAAGTGAGATGGGCCCCCTGCTGGATTAGATTTCGGGATTCATGCGGACCATGGAGTCTAGAGCAGTAAATGCAGCAACCCAGGACCTCAAGAAGGAAGACTACAGTTGAAGGCATACCATATTCCAGATGAAGCGTCTAATCCACCGAGCCCCCCATGAACCTTATCTGATAGCACATAGGCTATTACCTGAAGCTCATTCACCCTAAGCCCTAAACCCTATATAAGCCCAATATACCATAGTAGTTTATAGGACTTTCCATTTTCTTTTCCATTATCCCTATATAAGCAGCCTTTACCTTGTCATTACTTTTCAATCTGTCTCCGCTCAGTGACTGGATTGAAGCCATCACCCAGCATGAAGAGCCGGGCCATGAGGGAATGGACGAAGACCTGGGTTGTTGTGAAGGAACTTAATTTAAGTTACCATCTTAGGGAAACCTATTAAGTACTATATATACGCATTCATTATGGTAACTTAAATTAAGGAAGTTAATTCAAGGGTTATTATCCCCCTATAATGGAGAATCAAATGGAAAAGGAAATGGAAAATGAAATGGAAACTGGGGCAATATAGGGAATTAAGGGCCTTGATTCCAACTACTATCTTAGGGAAACCCTATTCATTCATACACCCTTTATGGTAACTCAAATTAAGCTTCCTGAACGGCAACCCAGAGACATCAGCCTGAGGCGTGTCCATCCTTGGAGTTTGCAGTGGGACTACATGAGCTATAGTCTAAACTCCTAGTATCCCCTTTAATAGCCTCTATAGTAGTTCCCTATCTAATCCCCTATATGACCTCCTTTAAGGAGTTTAGACTATGGCTCATATGAGGATAATGAAAAACAACATGGAAACGGCTATAGGGGTTGCAGTACGGTATATAGGGGTTGTATAGGGATTCTAGATTTTTTTTGGGGGTGGTTTAGGGGTTACTTAGGGATAATGGAAAAAACATGGAAACTACTGTAGGGATTATATTTCATATAGGGGTTATATAGGGATTGTATGGGGTTTAGGGGATGTAGGATTCCGCACCCCCTTTCGGCAGCGTGCAATTTGTCAGAGGCTAGGATGACAGATTGGCCGTCCCTCGAACGACTGGTACTTCAGACGCACGACCGTAGATTCTTCTTGAGCCACTGACGCTACTACTACGTAACAGTAGCCCAAATTGTTTACGCCTCTGAGGGGTCCAGCAGCAAGCTCCAACCCGGCACCTGATGCTTTGAAACCGCAGCCCGCCCAGTTGAGAGTGAACGGCAGCCCGACATGCCACTGAGCATCTGCTTGTCTGGCAGGTCGGCCAACTGGGCGGACAGGCTGTCCTTCAAGCTCTGCAGCCAATAAAGAAACACGCAGTCTGCAGTAGAACATGTACAGTAAGTTTGGGGTATGCTGCGTGCTGAGAGCTTGCAAAAATGGCCACGATGCGGAAAAACCCCACACAGAGCTGGTTTGGGACCAGCCATGTTCGAGCCTGCTGAGCTTGTGCACGGGTACAGGTCCTGCTTATTTCCAGCCTGTTCAAAGGCATGGGTCAGCCAACTGTCGCAGAAATGACCTAAATGACCAATTAAGGATCAATGCCTTCATGAGGCAGATCTGTAGGCTTTCATTAAAGTGTGAGACAAGGGAAGGCTCGTGAGAAAGCAGGGTCCTGGGGTCATGCAATGCAAGCGGAGCTGAAAAATATACGCCCCAGATGCCCCAGCGGCGACTAGTATCCCTGTTCAAAAAAAGCTGTGCTGAACAGCGCCTCCATTGCTAAGCTGCACTTTTCTTGCACTTGAAACTTATAAGGCCTTCAAGCATCGCTCGCAATATCAAGCCCCGTGGCCGAAAACCGAAGCCGGTCCTTGAGCATGTCCCATGGGATCAGGCGTCGCCTCACCAACTCTACGATGACCTGTGACGTCACATCCTGCTTCTGCGGATCCTGAGCAGCACCACCGCAATGTCTTTCAGGAATCACGTAGGTATATCAAAGTACTAATGGCATTTTTAATTCTTACGTGTTGACAGGAGCAGTACCATCTACTGCCAACAGTCCATTAAACTGAGCGTTTGGGCAGCGCTACATTTGCGGCGGAGGTAGTGGACATGCTTCACAGGATTTCCTGATCTCGCCATGCACCAAGAAAGCTTCACTGCTAACCGCCCACTGTACCATCACAGAGTCGTAGCATCAGACATACTGAATCTATTGGGCCCCCGCGGCGGCTAGGTGACTCCAGAGCTGGGGTTTATGGACGCACTGCTTGGGGGCGCCATTGCGGTTATTTAGGGGCAGGGCGTAACATCCTAAACACGACCAACGCTTTTAGATTGCTTTTAGATCACCGGGCCTTCTTCCAATGCAGCTTCCAACATTTACGCTTGACGTGATTCCTGCTGAAGAGACGCATGGAAGCTGACATCTTGAGCAGCCCTGGGAGACGTAATCAGAGTCTAGGCACGTCGAAGCCGGTTTCCAGCAGCCATTCCAGACCTCGGCGGCGCATCAATGTCTCCCAGAACGGCTCACGAACAAACCATGTTCTGCAGCCATTCCTCCTGGAGGCCTATGTGATATCCTGCTCATGACCTTCTTGGAGAGCATCTAAATCGCGGCCTTGAGAACAAATGCATTGGACACTGCCGGCCTTCTACAGCAGAAGGGTGCACTCCAAAAACATAATATTATGGATGTCTGGTTGCGAGTGTAGGGGCACTCAATTTCTTGGAGCATGCAGACACTGCTACAGTACCTTGTGCCCTAGAGTCCTCGTCGGTCCGAGCATCCATTTCCAGGAATGAGTCCACACCCACCAATACTTGGAAATTGGAAACACTAGCCACCTCAAGGACAATATAGAGAGCAAACATTACCCTGTGCTTCGGAAGTCATTGCTCAGGATGAAACAATGGAAAGGGGCCATGACTGGCTTCTTGAAGGTCCTACTCGATAGTAGCCATTCCATTCCATGCGCCTCATTATTTTACAGGAGAGCGACGTGAACTCCTGCATCTCCCTACCGCGGGGGAGAATGCAACAGTAACTACCCAGACGGGTCTACAGTCATTGCTGCGTCCCAGCCACCCTGCTTGGTCTCTTCCTTAGAGGGCTGAGCTTTGGCCCAATCTTCCTGCAGGGCAAGGTGGCTCCAGCTTCGGACTTGGAAGTTGCTGGTGGTCATTAGGGTTGAAGTATTAGGTCTATGTTGGGGGGGTACTCCATTTTTGGGAAACCACTATCTAAAGTTCCGGCAAAGTTCTCCCCAAGGCTGTCGCGACCGCGATGGTGGGGTTGAGCAATTCGGCAAAAGGTGCCGAGGGACTTTACATTGCAGTACCCGACACCTGAAGCCCAGAACCATGGCTTTTACTTGAAATGAAGCTCTGGATTCTAAACTCTCGAAAGTGTGTGATCCATTTAGGCCGAACTATCTTGCTGAGTTCCACTGGGAAGGCATAACTCCGCCTATAATACATCGATAGGACTATAGGATGCGAACAGTTGTCAAGTGTACCTGCCCAGCTGCTACGACTACGTGTCGCAGACAATCCTGCCATAACTTAACCTGCCCCATACAACCAATTCCCTATCAAGGATCTTGCCGTAACCTACCCGTCCAATCAACAATCAGGACGCTGTCAAGGATGCAACGGCAAAGCTAGCTGCTGCCCTGTAGCGGTGCAGAGAATTATACGCTGACTATGGCATGGCTTGCGACAACCTGCTGAAAGTCGGCAGTATTCCGAACTCACCTCCTTGTGGCAGGAATCCAACAAAAGGTGCTGAGGTTGGGGCTACGGCTACTCTGGCTACAAGCACACCAAGAACTGCGGAGACAAGACGAGTACAGATTTCAGAGCCCTAAAAAATATGGGGCTTCCAGGCTTACGGCCATGTATCTTAGCCATGTTTGGAAGTTGACGTATCCCCGAAAGGGTCCAAGCACCGAAAGCCCTTCGCATTAAAGTATCTGAGACCCCTGACTGGAACAAAAACCATATTTCAGCTACCCGCGAGCACCTGCAGCTGGTCACCCTGCTGGTCTTCGCCGTAGTACTGGCAGATCCTCCTCAGAGCATCCGGGCAGCTAGGTAGGCTTTTGACGAAACTTTACTGTTCAATTCTGCATAACAACATAAACATAGTCGGACACAAGGTGACCTTTTTTTTTTAAAGTTGTTGGATAATACCTACCTTGCTTGCAAGAGACCCCCTTTGAACCCATGGACCCTCACTTTCATACCTTTACAGGTAGAAACCAGAGTCATGTTGATGCCTTGTTTTACGGTTCATTGGGTAAGATGGATATGCACTATGCCCTTCCTAGCTGGCATCTGGAATGCTGCATCTTAAATTCCCGCCAAAAAAGGATGCTGCAGCAAACAGTGTAAGGCAGAGTGAGAGGTCACGTGTGTTGGAATTCTTGGTTCAACTGCCACGCAAGTCAATGTATCTGAGTGTTTTGAACGTTCAAGTCTGTCCCCGCACCGAGGCCTTCTAAATTGTATGTGATGGTGATCATGCCTTGTAATCACGGTCTCATGATGCCAGTAAGAGATCTTTTAAATGGCTAGATCAAGCCCAGGTGCTTGACATACGCCTTGTCGAACTTCGGCTTCTGGACGCCGCCATCAGCTGCCTTCGTCCGCTTCTTTTGCGTGGCGATCTCCTTGGCATGAGATGACAACAACCAGGGCCTGCGCGTAGCCCGCAGGTAGAGCAACGATCAGCGCAGCTTGGACCACAGCAGTCAAGAATGTTGCTAGAACTTGGAATCCAAAAGGGTCCACGCTATCAGATTTTTACGGCTGAGGATTGATGTAGGCCTGGGGCAAAAGCCAGAATGAGTCGGTCCATCTATTGTCCTGCTTGGCTCTCACACAAAACCATTCAGGCCTGCTTAGCGCTAAGTGTCTAGCTGAATTACAACGTGACCAGCTCGAAGATTCTCAAGGCGAGAGTTTCAATCGAGTCAAGTATTGCGGTGTGGGCTAGATGAAGGTCCTGAATCGAAAAAACAGTGGCTCATCGCATTGTCCAATGGCTGACACTACAGGGCCAGTAGCTAGAAGGCCTGAAACTAATCATCGACCCCGACTATAGGTACAGCACATCACCATCTCAAATCTTAAGGCCAAGCGGCATCCATGTAGGCGGGTCGAACACCGACGGTCTGCACGGAGAACATGCCTGCAGAGCAAAAGCTTCCTCCACCAAATTTCTCCCCGCTAGTTGACCATTGCGGAGCCGCTGCCATGGACAAACACTCGCAATGTAACACAGTCTACTACTATAAAATTAGAGCTGTGGGTCTGCTATTATCCTGAGAACCTGAAACCGCCTTCGTGGCACCCCCACTATTTCCTGAACCTCCGTCATATCCCTCCATTCTCCCTTGGCATCAAAAGACCACATCCCTGATAACAAGCTTTCACACGGGAAGACAAGAAGCGAGCATGCCATTTCTCGGCATCAGGCGGACCAACGGGCCGAGGGCACACTATACCCCACCCAACAATAATGTAGCCTTTCCTCAAGAAGTTATCCAGCCAATCCAGGCGTCCTAAACCCTACGTCCTACATCCGAGAGCTGAAGCCTAAACCTCGAAAACCCTCAAACCTCCAAACCCTAAATAGTAGTTTCCATTTTTCCAACATCCCAAGACTACCATCATATAACTCTAGTATTACCCCAACGTGTATACATCTCTGAACAGTCAAGGCACTGTCTGGCCCGACGTTTCGTCCGTGCTGGCCTGAGCTGTGCTTGTCGGCTGCTTCACTCCTCAGTCACTCCTCGACTTTTTAGTTATGGTATCAGCTCTCCCAATATACCAGCTAAGATATTGGGAAGACAAACTCTCCCCCAAGGGCATAGTAGATGTGTCGGTTGAATTCGGTTAACATATCTTTCTGCATGAAAGATATCGGCCCCAAACATGAGTTCAGCATTAGCAGAGCTTAGCCACCCTTACGATCAGCAACACAGTTCTTCTCATTTAGAACCCCATTTCCTATTTGAAGTTCGAAGAACACTCCTTAGAGTTATTTACCTGAGGCGTTTTTTTGAAAGTTCTGGTTATTGCATCAGAGCCTGTATAGTTGACCATGAAGCCATGAGGCCATGCTACATTAGCTAACTGCAAAGTACCTTGAAGCATGCGAATACTCCATCTCCCCCAGCCCCAAACCGAATGCCTAAACCCTGGATCCAAATCACTACCTACTACATCCTAAATCCTAAATCCCTGCTGTAATCCTAAACCCTGGCTCTGAATCACTGCATCCTAAACACGAGACCCCTAACCCATTGGATCCTAAAACCCCCAAAACAAACATCCAAGGGACGCTGCTCTCGCTCAGCCTCCTCGCGGACGGCATTCTTCGTCTTGGCCTGCTCCTTGAAGAGCTTCTTCCTTCAGCTCTTCTTACGGTTTAAGGTTTCTGGGGTTGGGGGGTCAAAAGAAGGCATGAATACAAGTAGTATTCTTGGTGGAGGTGCATAGTGTAAATGTTTATGTGTAGGGATATCTTCATATGTATCTATGTCCATACATGCCCCACAGACCGAGTAACCCATATTTTGGGGGGCTTCGGCAGAGTTCTGCGGATTCCTTTGGTTTAAAGCTAGGGCGGGCTAGCGGTTTGAGTTCCCACACAGGATGCATAGGACCTTGTAGGTCTTCTCAGTATAGTGTCAAGGCAAAACTGCATGGGATCATCGGGGAGATACCAGAAAACTACTACGTAGTAACTTGCCCAGATGGCAGAAAACCACAGCACCGATGCTCACCACAAACAAAACCAATGATTTTTGGGGCTTAGGGATGTTTAGGGGCTCATAGCACCTTTGGGCCACATGAGGGAGTCACATGTGTTGGCTGATGTAAACTATGGACCATGGATGACAACATACGAGCTCGCAAGTTCGCCCTTATAGTAATTATATTCCTGCAACTTAAGCAGGTGACACCTCTCATTTTGCACTCTTCTTGACCTCCGCGAGGTGACCTGGGTTCCGTCTCAGAAACGAGGCCTGAAGCATGCCTGGCATAGAAAGCACTTCTAGACCAGGCCCAGTCATTTCCGCAGTGGCATCAGCCGGTCGTTCCGGCCTAAGAAGCAACCTGAAGCTGCTTCATGTCACTACAAGTGTCTGCGAGCGCATGGGGCAGGCTGCAGAGTGGCAGGAGATGGTTCGCCAAGTGAGGTTGATGCGGGGCAGGGTAACCCCAGGCTGCCGTGGTACGCGATGGTACCAGTGTTTCTGAAAGCAGCCCTCCATTGTGATGATGTCACCGTCGTGAAGATCAAGCACAACGCTTTCAATGTGTTTTTTGGGGTTGGTCAAGTCACGCCGCCGCCGTAATTCGAAGCGTCGGGTCTCGCCAAGCGAAAGGCTCACAATGCAACAGTCACGAAGCAGTCCCTCGAACAGGGGCTCATTATCGGCATGCCAATCCACGGATTGAGCGCCGTCTTCATAGAAGTTCGCAACGCAGGAATTCGGCGCCGGGATGTCTTTACTGTTGCCTTGACGCAGCGTGTCCCAAACCGCCCGCTCAACCTCCAGAAGCCAGTCAGGGAACTCAACAGAGGGCCATTCTGTGGCATTGTACTCATAGCTGCATGAACAGCCCTTCTTGACAAACCATGCTGCGGATCGTGGGAGCAGCCGGCCTCCACGCACAGCGGGCCGCTGCCAGGGCGTCTGGTCCAGCGCAGCTTGCCACCACCTGGAAAGGTCGTCATCGGAAAACGGACAGCGCCGCACACTGGAGAAGCTTCTGCACCAAGCGTCGTCAACACAGCGCTCCCAGCCTGCAGCTCCTTCACCAACCAGCAGGAGAGGCTTTTCCTCTAAGGATGGCTCGCCCTCGAATCCGCCCAGACAACGAAGCAGCCACAGTTTCACGCAGGCTGCAACAATAATCGAGCCAATGGCAACCTGCAATGAGGTCTTGTGCAGGTACACCATTGCCACGGAAGCGCCAACCACTGCGGTCATCATGTACCAGCCCTGGCCATCCCGACTGAGGCTATCCACTGCTTGGCAGCACCGTGCAGTCCATGCGAGTCTTCTTTCAACAGCTTCCGCAGCACATGCCTCGCAAGCGGTTGGCAAACCTGCCCTCAACTTCCTGCGGCCGCCACGCGTGAAGGCATCCTGGGTCAGCGCTCGCCTGCAAGAAGCGCAAACTCCTGCGATCACCGGTGCCGGAAGAGGTCGCAAGCACGACTGCTGCAGCCACCCACGCTCGTAGTCACCACCAACTTTCTCGACCTCTGCCGCACCATCGCAGTCACGGGATGTCACCAGGACCACCTTAGAACCCGGCAAGAGGCATCCAGCCCGTCTCCTCATATGGCGGTCTGCGTACATAGGGGCTGGAGCTTTCCCAGCCACGACATGGGTTGCAGGCCTCCCCGAAAGCTTCATGGCCTTGACGGCCGCTATGCTGTTATGGCAGATGGAGAGGGACGCGACGCAACCTTCCACAACCCAAAGAACACTACATGGCCCTAGATGCCTGGTGAACTAGCCTTGGCGCCTGCATCCGCACGCAGCTCATGGATGACATTTCTCGACTCCCCTGATACATCGAGTAGGCAGCTTGAAAATGCCCATGTTTCAGCTTTACTGGGTCTCGGTCTTCACTCGGTGGAGTTTGGGTCGACAACGCTGTACGCAGAACTACTGGTCTTAACCATTACGCGAGGACTTACATCTCTCATTGCTGAAACGACTTTACGCAATTGTTTCCATTTCCTGGCTGATGATGCGGAGGGGGACTGCCTTGCTTTGCTGTGTTCTGTCCCTAGTAGACTTGAGCAAGTGGCTCTGCACTCGATGCCGGCAAGGCAAACAGTGCTGGATGAACACCATGACTGCTGAGAGTGGACACTTGCATAAGCTGCAAGAAGTGCTGAGGCATCGACATCCACTTGTTTTTCCGGAGCTCGAGAAGTCCGTCAATCCTCACAATAGAGGCGTAACAAGGACATGTTGACATCATGTGTTGAATAGTCACGAAGCCCTGACCTGCAACTTGGCGCCCTCGCCGCCCCGTCTAGTTATGTGGTCTATGCAATCTTTTCTCCAATTCTTTGGGGTCAGCGGACGTTTAGGCTCTTCGGTGCTGCCAAGATGCCCGAACTGAATGCCTCAGATAACGCGCAGCCCTCCGAACATGTGCAAACACAAGACTCCACCGCACACCACCATCGACCACCGCCGGTCGAGATTTTGAACTTCTAGCTAAGAGCTTGCATCATCTTCGACATACCGGAATATGTCCATCAGCTGTTGAGGCAACCAAATGCTTTGGCTTGTAGCCAGGTCGCGCTTGCTGTAGGCGTGCTTGCCATTGTTGCGCACCCCGGACAAGTCCTATGCACAGAGAATGTAGGATTTGCATAACCTCGCGGCTCTTGCATCGAAAACTTTGCTTCCAAGACCTGATTACGTAATCTTCCATCAACCATTTGGCATGTTTCTCGCGAAAACGTCCAACACATGTGATGCCACATTTTGAAGGTAGATCATTAGATCTGCAATGTATACCGAGCATACCCCTTGAAAGTATAAGACTCAACAGATGGTCTTTGCACATCACCCGCCCAAATGGTAGACCGCGTGTGCACAAGCGTCCTTCAGCCTCGCAGCGAAGGAATTCATGAGCGACTCACCCTGCTGTGTTTCCTTCCAGCTTGAGGAAATGTGCGAAAACCATGGTTCTTGCTTTAACTCTGGTACTTACACTGAGGATCCGACTGCTTCAGGTTCTATAGCCCACTGTTTCTCATACATTTGCACATATGCAAGCCCTAAGGGTCATGTCTAACAGTCCAGCTTGAGATTTGTGTTCTTTCGCCGCTTGCATGGTGTTGGGCCATTGCATCGTTTAAGCTTTAGGGTTGGGAAGCCCTGCATCTGCATGAGACGGAGGAAGGAAGTTTCATGAATCCTGGATCATGCAGAAAATGCTAATTAGGTCTGTGCATGACCTTCCGACATGCAGCAGCGATTGTCACAAAACAATGCTATCATAATTCCCTGGTCCGGCTGCGACCTATCATAATGACAGGTAGCGATGTCTGTACGAACAACAAGCAGGCACATAGCAGACGATCGCTCTAGGGAAGCTTTCTCTACCACAAAGCAGCGCTTCTGCATTAATCGAAGGGACCTTTTCGGCATGTCGCTTCCGTGATGCACACCGATACAACTCAAGAGGCCCATGCCAAAGAGCCTTGTTGCCGTCAGTCACCCATCTTACGGCTACAAACTGTCCTCAAATTCTTGCTGGCAAGGACTCCCGCTCTGATGGATATTCGTCGACATAAAGTCACCCTGGTCAGAGCTCTCTTTTGGGGCCCCGATTGCTCCTGAGCAACACTTGCCACCAAGTGACGTCCAGGGTGTAACCGATGGCCTGAAGCAGCTCGCATACCTGGGCTTCGGTTGAGGCAGATCAAGAAGAAGCTAGGCAGCTAGGAGCTTACAACTCGGCGCATGAGAACTCGCGGGGCATCTTTGCAATCTCAATCCGGATGTCACTGTTCGGGTATCAGCCTATGTCTATGCTAAAGACGAAGCCAACCAAATGAAGTGCATGGGATGTAGGATGTCGCTTGGCTTCAAGGCCTTGAAGGTGCGCAGGGCAGCAATGTGAACCAGCCACTGGGTTTAGGGTTTAGGGCGAAGCAAGCCCAAGCGACACACTCGATCATGTGCTCCTCTGGCAATGGATTGTCGCCCTGCTTGATGCCGATGAGATCATGCACCACCTTGTACACTCTGCTAGGTGCATTGGCTCTTGCTGTTGCATGAAGGTCGGTTTCACCCATCGGTCTTGTTATTCTTGGGTTCCCCTTCAGAGTGTGATATATTAGTCATGATGCCCTCCTCTTGCGGAAAGCCCTCATGCATAAGCTTCAGGAAAACCTGACTGCGGCTGGCCATGCAAAAAGCCTGTCCTCCTTCAATGACCATGAGCGCGGCTGCAAAATCGCGGCGGGTGCCCTTCTTTCAACAGCTCATAAGACTTCAAACTCGACTTGTGTCCAACATCCTGGGCTTTGATTGTTCACGCTCGCTTGAGCTTAATTACACCGCAAAAACATAAACAAACAATGACACCTCGCCGGACCCATGCTCTCAGAAGACTCACAGCAGAAGATAACTTGAAGGGTATGTCATGGTGGAACTACGAGTATCAAGTAAGGATTGTCAATAAACTTTCCAGTTTCCAAACTTTTCAGACTTCAAACCTTCAAAGAAGCCCCATGCTAGTCGCTTTCCGTCCCCATAGATCCGCGAGCAACTCTACAATTGTCACCAAACCTAATCCACTGGTTGCCTCCCAGTCTCACCTTCAGCTGTCGACAGGACATTCGAATCCAAGAATGGTCGTAGGAACCCAGGCATTACTTACTTAAAGCCCCCAACCAAAACCCCACCACCACCACCACCACCACCGCCACCGCCGCCGTGCCACCACCACCGTGCCACCGCCAGCATGCCACCAACTACCAACCATGCCACCGCCACTGCCACCGCCAGCGCCGCCACCACCGCACTCATCACTGCTACCACCCGCAAGTCATGCCCATTTTTGAGGGTTGCCTGACCGATCACCTTCACAGCCAACAGCTGCCGGAGGAAGAGGTTGCCAATGAACTTCATGTTGGCCAGCATCCTTGGTGTTGAGCTGTTTGGCTTCATGGCTCAAGCTTGCATACGACTTTTGGATAGGGCGCATGTTCCAAGACAGCAGCAGGGACAAACGCAAAGCAGGACGGGTTGTACACAAGCCTTGCTGGTCATCATGCAACTTCCACTACAGCAACAAGTATACACTAGTTGAATTCACGTGGTTGCAATGAAGCGCGAGCAGTAACATCTGTAGCTTAGCAGCCTGGCGGTACCAGCGTGCAAGTGCCTCCCTCCTCTACTCCCTATATGACTCTGGGCTACAAGCTTTGCCAGCCGGACGTGCAAAACATAACCACAACATACCCAGAAGGACAGCGTAGGACAGAGTAAGAATGAATGTAGTGCAAGAATTAAGGCAGGACACTAGCAACAATATCCCTACAATACAAACAGTGGCGGCAGCGCAGCAACAACCTCTAAGCAAGACGAAGACTTCATTCGTCTGGCATGATTTTCTGGGGATGTGCCACGTTTGGGTTTGAGTCCCTGCAGGACCCCAAACAAACCAACCCTCGAAAACCATGATGATGAACATGCTGTACGACATAGGCAAACGAAGACAATCCTAAGCCCGTCTTAGAACATGCCTTTCTTGTTTGCACACCCGAAATATGGAACATGAACTCTGAAAACCCCTTGTCTTTTAACAGCTCATCGAGTCACAATGAGATGCGACTCCCTACTGAAGCCTGATTAGCAGCGCTGCTGTGGCTATGCTTGACAGCACCCATACACCCCTCACGATTTGGTCGAAATTCATGAAGGCAGGTTGTGCCAAGCCCAGAGCCCTCTTTTAGCAGCTATAGATTACTGGTTGTTAGCAGGGAATATGGGAATCGATTATGTAGGGGTTGTATAGGGATTATCTTCCCATCTTCCCTACGAAGAACCAGCAAGTATAGATTACCTATTCTTCCGGACCAGGCAAGTCCTATTTTGCTTGCACTGGCGGAGTCCAAATATGTACGGGCCAAACTTCCTGGCTTCGTCGCCACAGGGCGCCTAGAGTTTTCAGGAGCCCTAAGAGCCAGACTGCATGGCACGCAAGGAAATTGAAAATGCAAACGTGCGTTTCTTGGCGTGACCAAAACTACTTCGGCGTGAACATGCTGAGTCTTTATCAATGTGCCCAATGGAAACTAAAAGAAAGCTTGAGCTCTACACGAACCCCCACCAGCCCCCGGGCCTCCTTCCCCAAATCCCTCGCTGTCATAGCAACCCTCTCGGACACCAAGCGACATGGGCAACTACATCCCAGAAAACTAATCCTGAAAAAACAAATATCTGCGAAATGAGCCATGCCTTCTGCACATACCTGACGTATACCTTGAAACGAGATTCTTGCCCTTGCGCTTCTTCATCTCAATGTTCAGGTCCTCGGTCGACTCGTACTTCTTGCGGTCCTGGCAATCCAAAAAAGGGTTACCTAAGGGATCCTGGGAATTCTAAGGAGATCACAGCGATTGTCTTAAGGACTTTGGAAAGGGTTGGGTTTAGACGGCCGCTTTTTGGCCAAGATTTGTGAACGATTCAATTTCGTAGTGGGCTATTTCTTGAGGAATTTATTTTTGATTCTAGCAGGACCAATGGACAGACACATAGCAGCGTGGACCGCAGATCTGGGAATCTCAGTCATTCAACCAGCGGTACTGCTCTGCTTGTAAAAACAGGACCCAAATCTTCTGTGGCGCAAGACGGCGGGAACCTGGAAATCAGCAGCATTTTGCCAAGACCTCGCAAACCCACAAGCTTGGACCCACAAATCCACGAGCCAGGAGCCCTTCAGCAGCCTCATCCGTAGGCTCAAAGGTGGTCGGCAAGCTTTCGAACTCGTTCTGGACCTTGGCAAGGTACCGGATCAACTAAACCAGACCCATGAGCTGGCCAGGCACGGCTGGATAACATCTTGCGGCTGGTGCTGTAGGTGGTCAGACCCTGAACGTAGGATTTACCAATGGGCATCAGCCCAAGGACCTGGACCGTCAGTGCGCTACTATTTCGAAAAGGACGTGTATTTCAGGTGAGGCAGCTGACCCTTCTTGAAAGATTTAAGGCTCCTCTTGTGCCCCCTTCCAACCACCTCAACAGTAATCCACAACTTCCAGAGATGACCATCTAGCAGAATCTAGTATCACAAATAGTGCAGCTGAAGCTGGATTCATCAGTGATTGAGGGGGTGATGATCCTTTCGGCCGATAAATGCTCTCACAGTGATCTCCGCAATAATGTTACAGTAGCCAACGCCTACCTCACGGAAAGGCGTTGACCCTGGTGAGGGACGAAGCAAATCATCTGCTCCCTATGGCAAGCAAGATCAACGCGAGATGCACCTCATAAGAGAGCGGATGGAGATTGTTGGCACTGGGCTGATAAAGAAAAATTAGCTGACTGCTATCAGCATGATGCACACAAGTCATAACTGGGACAAGGAGCCGTGTTCAGAAGCACACGCGTGAAGCTGTGCGGCTTCTCGCCTTCATTCTCTGCTGGGAACTCTGGGTACCGAGAGCGCAAGGCGAAGACCATGTCTGCGTATGTCTCACCTCAACTGCAACAAACTTGGTGGAGAACGCCACATCTCGGAGCGCGAGATCATGTCTCAAAATTGCCTTAAAAGCCTCATATGAACCTCGGTTGCAGTAGTGTAGCCTGGCAAAAGCCAGAGCAATGACATCGTTGTAGACAGTACTACTGCAACACGTTGAAACTGCTGCCACAAACGGAACTACCCAGTGCTACCACCTCTGCCACCGCTACTGATACTGCTGTGCCTTCTGCGGCAAATGCTATTACGGCTGCCGAAACCACTCCCAATACTATTCCTTCTGTGGCTACCACGCCCCTCCGCCTTGCAACTTGACAACCGCTGGGATTGCATCTCTTTGCATGTACATGCTTTGCCGTGTTATACGTACTTCTTCCGCCATGACGTCCACTATCGCTACCGTCATGCAATCGAATCGGTATAGCAGGTCAGGGTAAGTTTGAACATCTTCTGGGCCTCAGTTAACCTTGCAATGGTAATTTCCCTAAATGAAGGGACCGCAACACCCAAATTGCTCTTAACTCTTATCCTTACTTTAGGGACCCCCCAAATGGTACCCCTAACTTTGGGAACCCCCAAATCATGGAGCGCACGGGCGGTTCAAAATCAGGCCTGGCAGCCCAAGTTTTTGCTTGTCTGAAATTGTGGTTATGTTAGGGTTATATTAGGTTTATGTCGGGGTTGCCCAAATTATGAGCCATGCCGGTGTCAGCCTGAAATGCACTGTGAATAAGGCACAGTACAAACACGCAAGCTCCATAGGCAGCACATCCAAACTTTTAGGAATGACAAAAAGCAGGGTCACAGTAGTGGGGCTCTACCAAGGCTTTGCCGAAGATGATCTTGATCACGAACTCCAGCTCCTCAGCCTTCTCCAAGTGGATCTGAGCCTGAAGCATGCTATCAACAAAATTCTCCAAGAATCTGGGGACCCGAACCAATACTAATGCTCTATAAGAAAAAGCCGCTGCTTCCTTTTTGTGAGCATCTGTCCGCACGCAGCTGCAGGTGACCACAATGAGACGAAACAAAAAGAACATCTTCTTCAAGCCGTCATGGTGATGGGTCTGGGTAGTGATACTACGTGCAGCGGCAAGGAGGCCTCCATCACTACTGAATTCAAGCTGCCTCCGAAGCGGAGGTCATCTATAGACATCTACGTACATGCACACCCAAACTCCAAAGGCTCTCAATCGCGGGGCCAACGCACGGTCTTGCAAGGACCCTTCCCATGGTTTTTTTTTCAGGGAGGAGGGAGTTTCTGAAACTGAGAGGACATTTTCGTAAAGGTTGCCGTCTTGCTGCTGGCTCTACATCTTCCACTCTCTCAACTTCAGCAGGAGTGACTGGCGTTTCAGCAGAAAGCTGGGAGGCCGACTCATTTCCATTGCAAATTAATGGGCAAGAACTGCTCATAAACTGACGGATCCTTTCCAATTTGGGCCTCTAAGTCCACTACCCTGAAATCTGAACCTGAATGCATGATTGCCACACTCTGAAGCTTCAAGACAAACGACCACGACCGCCAGCCACCACTACGATCTGCAACCCTAGACGCCACATTCTGATCCTGGGGACCAAAGTCTCCACAATGGTCTTCAAGTTGTCCGGGCAAATCTTGTTCAGCAGGCCACGAACCCTTCTCTCAAGCTCCTGTGTGGCTTTCCAAAATCGAACTGCGTTGCTTTTAGGCGCTGGCTTCTCAAATGTCTTGTTCTTGTAACTGTCACGGTCTTGATGCAGATTTTCCTAGGAAAGTAGTCCCCTATATAACCCCCTAAAATAACCCCTTTTAAGGAATAGCAACAATCCAGTTCCTTGGTTTCTCTCCCGTGCTTGAGGGTCGAGGTTGAGGCTGGGCTTGGCAACAAAAAAAGCAGATGGGGATTTCCCAAAATTAGGAGTACCATTTCATAATAAGGAATACATACAATATGTTTAGGCCTATATGTTTTGGGAAACTACCAAATATCTAATTGAGACTGCAGGATGCAAACCAAGGTATGGATTCCGTCTTTTGGAGATCCACAATCCTGATGCGACATGGTGTCGATTTGCGGCCCTGAAGCACACACCCCAGGTATACACGCACCAGGATTTCAAGGAATCCCAGAAACCTGACTGGGCCTGCCTCCAAACACTATATAAACCTCAAGTCTTAGACCCCACACATCCCTACAGAACCCCCAACGGGGGACCCAAGCATCCACCTTTCCTGGAAAAAAAAGCAGAAACAGGGGCCTCCAAGCGACTCTGAGGCTGAATGATCTTGTACGCATTCTCGCTCTGCTTGAGCACCTCAGCTGGATTCACCGGCCATCCTTGGCATTGACAATCACGTGGTCCCAGTGGCTGCAGTGGCGTCAGCAGCTGTAGGAGCAGTAGCCCCAATAGTAATAGCTAAAGGCAAGGGCTGCATCAGTATGGTTCCGTCTTGCAAGTAAAGGCTTTCGTCCACTGAACTGGCCTCGAGGAGACACCCTCCAGATTTCTGAGGTGGAGTTGAGGAATGCTGCTTCCCAAGCACCTGTTTTAACCAGCTGCGTCTTCCTCCCAATCTGCAGGAAAACGCAAACCCTAGAACCAATTTACTCGATCATGTGCCTTGCGAAGCTTGAACTCTGAGCAGGTTGCTACCCTTGCCTTGCAAGCATGCATGAACTGGCCTCTTGCGTTTAGCAACCCACAGAAGATCACCTTCATTTTTTGCAGAACGGTACTGCGTTACGTGAAGCAAAGGAACTGCACACTGGGAAATGCTTCATGCTTGGCGGAGGGCACGATGCTCGTTCAAACAGGCGCTTGGTTTATACACTTCTGTAAAAGTTTATAGCTGAGTTTCCACCTACTACATGAGCAAGCTCCAGTCACAACTTTGTTGGGGACAAATTTTCTTCTGTGAGGGCAAGGGAAATGATGCAGCGCAAGGTGCTCTCTTAATTGTTGTCAAAAATTGTTCCTTATTTATCGGGCATCCCATGTACTAGTTTCCATGCTTTACGAAGGACCTCAGAGAAGGGCCATAATTTCTGACTAACCTCTGTAGAACCACATTTACAGAACTCAGAAGATGGCCAAGACATTGCCAAAGCCTCTGGGGTTATATTGGGGTTATACTGGGGCTATGTTGGACCTATATTGGGGCTATACTCGGGCTTTGTTGGGGTTATATAGGGGTTGAGCGGGAATCCATTGCTGGTAGACGAATCGCACATTGGCAAATCTTGTGTAATCACAGTTGGTACTAAGATGAGCGGTGATGCTGATTTCACATCGGGATTGCAACACGCAGTTTGTCTCTTAAGCAGCTATGACTATGATGCCTACAAGGTCAGAGGCGGATAACCTATGTTATGCTGACGTCTCACATAGCAGACCCGAACTGGTGTGGGTGCTATGTGGGGGTGCCTGGCATGGGGCATGAACGCTGAAATAGTTAGCATGGCTTACAATCTCGAAGCTGATATGCAGACATCCGCATAATATGAGAGCTTGCCCCGCATTACTGTTCCTAAAATGGGTGCAACTCATGTAGGGACCTGTAGAACTTGCAAATTGAGGGCATCCCCGATTTTGTTCACAGCCGAGCACCGGCTCGCGGCGGGCTGGGCGGCGAATGTCGTTTGAAGGGGTGGGGCGCGTCGTGCTGCCTGCATTGCCAGGGAGAGGGCAGTACTGCCACTACTTTTTATAAAGTACAGGTACTGCTGCGGGCGCCGGTACTCCACCCACTACTTCTTTGGCATTCGACTAGGTAGTTTGACGCTGAGCAACTAACCACAGAGGGAGGATTCCACAGATGGTGTTCCTGCGAATTGTTGTGACGCTGGCGGCCTAAGATCTTTCTTCAAATGGGCTGAAACTCAACATCCTCCTCGGCAAATCCTACAAACACACCTCAAGCCTTGCAGGAAGCGTAGCACTCACTTCTCAAGCAGAAGCCCTGGAAAGCCCCTGGATGATGCTTGGTTGCAAGTCCGAAACCTCTGCATGTCTGACTACGCTACAGTACATCAAGAAAGTCTGTATCGCGCTTGGAAGATCTTGGAAGGATTATGTGTCATGGGTCTTCTGATGTGAAAAAGGGATCTGAGTGAGCCCAGCCAGAAGAACTGAATTGATCTACTCGTTTGACGCCTGCCTTCCAGCGCATGGCCCGCGTAGGTAGATAGAATACAGGTCGCGTTTTCTGCGTGATCATGTTTTGGACCTTTCAATGAAGTTCTATCGGCTTCAGCAGGGCACACCCACCCATGCTCCTTACAGAGCCCAGTGTCTTTGGCAACGCGCGAGCGGGATGGTACCCCTTTTTCTTCCGCTTTACAAGGGCACACGAAACAGCCCCCAATTTTGCGAAATGTCCCTTAAAAAGGGACCCTGTGCCCAGGAAAAGCTCAAGTGAGGCAAGCTGCGGCGGATGTCCGGGGTGTTGCCTCAGTCTGTTTTATCCTCTCCCTCAAAAACTAACCCCCGCTACCCAACTAAAAAACAATAATACGAACTCATTACTTGATGGGATAAAATTGTTCAGAGGGCGGAGAATATTATGATTAGAAACTGGGAGTTCTGTTATAGACAGTCAACAGCCATCCTTGTGTAGAGGTTTTGGATGTTGGGCCTCACTTTTTGTACTGGATCGCAAGTTTGAGTATACAAGTGAGATTCGGACGCAGGTCCCTGCTTCCCTTCATCACACCTGTACTTCAGATATAGCCTGTAGTCTAAACACCTAGTATCCCGCTTACTGACCCCTATAGTAGTCCCCTATAGAATCCCCTATATAGCCCCACTTTATGGAGCTTAGAGTTAGATCTGGGCACGGAGCGCGTCAAGGTCTGGTGCCAGGAAGAAGGTTCGGGATCAATCCTCCCTCCCTTTTATGAAACACCGCCCCCCCCCCCCCTCCAATACATTATAATATACCATAGTGGGCAGCATTTACTATTACGGGGGGTGGGGGGAAGTTTAATATTAGGGGGAGAGGATTACACGGAATTGGCTAAGTTGCTCAACGACAGAAGGCTTGCTCCCACAGAACATCGGCAATCAACACCCACATCAGAGGTACAAACAGCCTCATCTTCTGCTACTGCTTACAGGGTTGATGTATAGTCCCCCTTCAGTAGATAGAATATGGGGCTTTATAGGGGTTATATTGGGATAATGGAAGAGAAAACGGAAACTACAATTTAGGGTTTAGGGTATATAGTCCCCCGTAAGTAGATAGAATATGGGGTATGTGGGATCTTGTTGTCATGTACCCAAAACCATATTCTATCTCCTTAAGGGGGGCTATACCATACTCATCACCAAACATGCAAACATGTATCCAAAGATCGTCGGTGCTGCATGAGATTCGAGATTCATCCAAAATGTTTGTGGCGAAGTACGCTACAGTACCCGCGTACTGGCACAGCTTTATTTATAATGGTTTCAAGCACTGTGCTATAGACGCAGTGGTGCCTCCTCGGTTCAAACCGGCTTACGGGAAAGGGGCACAAGGAGTCTTCAGCGACCCAACCCCACAAAACAAGGACCCTGTAGTGTTCTGACTCCTTAAATAGTCAGGACAACCTCCATAATGAGTTCCAGCAGCACTTCCACAGTTTCAACGTGTTGTTGGAAGGTCCTCTGTGATGTTTTTGGGCCCAACAGAATCCGGACCATCCCTTTGCAGTGAAACCGAGCAGCCCCCTGTCTTTAAGTTTCGCGCCCCCTCTGGTTAGGGGGTGCCCCAGAGATTAGAGGAGTTGCAGCAATGACACCATAAGTAGCAAATCAGAGGGTAGTCACTGTAGTCACTGGGTCCTTGGCTGGGGTTGGGGACCAAGCAACCCTTGTCGCGTGTGACTTCAGCCAAAAACAAAACCATTAAGATGGTATGTATGTATATATATATATATCTCAGACATAAACCCTAAACCTAAATAGTGGTTTCCATTTTCCCTATATTATACCCCTGTATGCAACCCCCAGATATACCCTAAAACTACTATAGTGGTCTCCATTTTCTTTGCCATTATCCCTATATAACCCCTATAACCCCTGTAGTTTCCAAGCTCTTTTCCGCTATCCCTAAAAAATTAGATAACACCTATAATCCCTGTAGTTTTCATTTTCTCTTCCCTTAGCCCTATATAACCCTATCTAGCCCTTAAACCCCTAAAGTCTAAACCCTAAACCCCTGTATTAACGAGCTGCGCTCTGCGGTTGGGCGATCACCAGTGCCGAGGCCGGAGACCTTGTGAGTGGTGGTTTTTGGTGGTTAAACCAAGTAAGATTATATTCCTTATATAAAATACTATACCCCAAAAGGAGGATATACTCTTACTCTATATTGGGTACCATAGTATCCCCAAATAAAATACTACTGTTGTCGTTCAGGCCATGGGGCTACTTTGAGGGGATGATGGGTTTAGGGTTCAGACCCGCGCATCGCACAAGCAGTGCAGGCACGGCAAACAATGTCCAGTTCAGCATCCCTACATGTGAGGGGGTTTAGGGTTTATAGGGCTTAGGTTTTAGGTTTACGGTTTCGGATTAGGGTTTAGGGTTGTTGCTGTGGGGTACCCATTAGAGTATATCATAACTGCGGCATCACCTTCAACCGAGGCATGCTTCAATTTTAGTTTTGGCAAAGACGTGCTTCAACGATTTGGGTGTCTTCGTCAGTGGGCCTTGAATATGAAACCTGTTTACCTGGTACCCTCTACACGTGGCACCGCGCATCAATCTCTTCATCGTGACTGCAACTTTTGCTCATGCTGATCTGACGTGACTCCTGCTCATTATCTGTCCCTAACATTCGTTCATCCTCGCCCGTGAAGGTTCGCAGCTTACGGACTCGGAATGGTGTGACGCGAGGCCAAGCCGTAGCAGGAAGCATTCGCAAGAAGTCAACCTAACTCACTGGGACATGGACCCCAACCATCAAGCCGGCTCAACAAATTTGCCGCCGTTCTGTGCCTGCTACCTTGATTCTTACGGAACCCCTGTTCCCTTCCAAGCATTGGCTTTTCAATCTTCACTATCTGTGTACTGCCAATTTCTCACCGGAAGGCAGTGCGAATCCCATGTTCCGAAGCTTGAAGCACGACATTGAGCTACCACACTCGGAATGATGGCGTACTCCCAGCCGGCTTGCTTGCCACTGCTGTCTTTCAACGGTTGAAGAGCACGCGGACCCCCAAGATGAATAAAAGTGCTAGACAGCCCCGGCCAATCCTTGCGTGGCTACTGAAGTCTCCTCTTTCCGTGGGCCGCAGGTAGATTCACAAGGATGCCTCCCAAACACCCGC